GAGCAGATGTCTTTGGCTTCTTGGGGGATGTGGGAGCTTCTGCATCTCTCACATCATTGTGTTGAACAGGAACAGTGACTCCATCAGGAACTCCACCATCAGTTCCTTGCTGCGTAAAGATAAAACAATTAAAAAGTTACATGTAAAATATAATTATTATAATAATAAATTATCACAAAGAAAATATCATTTAGAAGTTCTGATCAAAATGAACCAAAAACACTAATTTGTCTCAACACTGGTACAACTTACATTCAGTGTTTTCATTTGCTCCAGACAAACAATGTCCCTCATCAGCCTTAAAAAATGTGTTGTCACGGTCCTCTTCAGACAAGAAGGGAAGGGCCTTAAAACGAGGATTTAGTGCTGATACTGTATACAATGTGGCCTTCAGGCCAGCATATCTTAAAGAGATCCACATTATTTTAATCACTTTTTGTCATATGCAGTTATACATTCATAAGTTGTTTTAATCTATGTATGGTTGTAAATGTATTTAATGCATGTAATCTACATTTAGTTTATATAGAGTTTATAAATCAACAATACTAAAGAATAAAAAAGTTCTACAGTATAAACATACCTTGACATTAGGTTGTCATGCATAGTGGATTTAACATCCTTGATGATTATGGAGTCGCTGGGTGCAATTCTCATCTCCTGTAACAGCTGTGCATGCAGGGGACCAATGACTGATAAAGTTGGTGAGCATTCCTCAGGCATGGCTAGTGTGGCAGCTTTCATGGGATTCAGAGCCTTCACTACATCTTCTTTTGCCGTTATGTCACCTTCTGACAAAGTGCAAAGATCTTTCTCATTTCTGCAAACCTCAGGTGAGAGCAGCGCTGCGGATATGGCTGGCTGCTGTTCTAGGAACCGTTCTAGCATCTCCAGTGCGCTGTTCCACCGAGTTACGACGTCAGTCTTCAGCTTATGCGAGGGTAGGTCAAGTAGCTTTTGTTTGACTTTCAGAGTATGGCTCACGATGCAGCTTCGATGAAAAAAGGCACTGACTCGTCTCACTTTGCCAAGCAATTGAGTCACTTTTGGGAGTTTAAGTGCTGCTTGCGATGCTAAGTTCAGCGTGTGTGCATAGCAACCGACATGAAGCACATTCATTAGCTCCGCCGCTCGGACCATATTCGCTGCATTGTCGGTAACCAGAGGCGGTTCTTTCTGGGTAATATTCCACTCATGTAAGGCCTCATCCAACAGTGCTGCGATGTTACTTGCTGTGTGACTGGTGTGGACAGCCCGGGTTTGCAAAACATGCGACACGAGTGTCCAGTCACTTGCAATATAGTGACATGTTATGGTGACATACGAGACAGTCGCCCTTGATGTCCAGCTGTCACACGTAAGGGCAACTCGTTCTGCTGACTGGAGAGATGCTGCGACATTTGTCTTAACTTCTGCATACTTTTTCGGGATTACCATTTCACTGAGGCACTTGCGCGTTACCATCACGTAGCGTGGTTCCAAAACTTTAATAAGATTTTGAAAACCCTCGTTCTCAACGATATTGTAGGGGCGTAAATCCTTGCAAATCAGCATGGCAATGGCCTCTGTTATTTTCTTAGCGCGAGGTGAATCTGACTGTAGTTTGCAAGCAAACGCAACATCTAGCCGTTGCTGCCCAGAATCAGAAAAACCAAACAGCTTGTCAGCGTATCGTCTGGACAGGTGGTTTCGTAGGTTTGTTGTGTTGTTGCAGAATCTTAGCTCTTGCGGGCACAACTTGCAAACGACGGTAGTTTTGTCGAACTCATCTTTACCGTCACTGCCTTTGAACATGAAATACTTCCATACCTCAGACTTTAATTTCGCCGGGGCTGGCTTCAATTAGCTGTCGTGACCTACCGCCATGATGATCCTCTGTTTTTTTTTTTGTTTTTTTAGTGGAGCAATTCGAAAGATGGTGACACCTTCAGGACAAGAGGTGAATATTCATATCCTCGTACGTGAAGCACGCGCATTAAGAATCGATTCAGGGATTTCCCGAATCGATATCGTTGCGTTAAACTGAAGATCGATTAAAATCGGAAAATCGATATTTTTTACCCAGCCCTAGTCCCTACTCTGGGAAATTACGTTTTTTGTTTTACTTCAACATGTTGGAAATAATAAAACATAAAATTATGGCACACAAAAAATCATTTCAACTGATCCACTGTCATTTCTTCTGCCAAAGAGGGTGTTACTAACCAAGTGCTCAAACTTTGCACAAAGTAACACTGACTTTTGTACAAAGGTGCTATATTTATGGATGGATGGAAGTTATATTACCTTAATTTCATTTGAAAATTTTATAATACTGTTGCCCTGGTCAAATTTGCGTAAGGCTGTATAATATAACAACAAACTCAATTAGTAATAAAGTATTCTTTAAATACCTTTCTGGAGTACCCATCCACTCCACCAAATATGTTAAGTATGTTGTACCTTTAGGGGAAATAACATTTTGCTGAGTAATTGATTTTACCTTTTACTCAATCATTGGTAACTATATTTTTGAGTTAAGTTTAGTGTTATTGTAGCACTTCTGGGAAATTTTTGCAAGTCATGCATTAAGGATTAACATAAAAGCAAACCCACCTGATTAATTTATGGTTAGTGTCCACATGGACTAGGGAGAGTGGTCTGCGGACACAGTATTGCCTTCTTACTATGCATCCTATCTGGGTCATCCTGGCTAAGACCCCAACAGAATTTACCCTGTGCATTGCAGCTTTAATTCGCTCCCACTGAATACGATGACCTTCAGCCTGCAAACAGCCTTTGACTAGTCTATAGCCAGCATGTGGTAGATGTGCTTTAATAGTAGTAATTTTGCCATCAAGTTCTTGGTCTGACATAGTACTATACAGTGTCTTGGTTGAAATGCCACATTCTTTCATTCTTCTGAAAATTGTTCTCTGACTGAGCCCAAGTAAATTAGCTATGCAGCTGACAGGTAAAGGGATTTCAAAAAGACATGTTAAAAAAGCTGCAGAGAAAGCAAACTTAGGTCGCCCTCTTTCCCCTTGCTCCAAT